AGAGCACAGACACACGGCCCATAGCAAAAGTGTGTTTTACAGAGGAAAAAGTCTGCTCACCTTTTATGAGGTTGTGTGTGTGTGTGTGTGTGTGTATGTCGCCCCAGAGATTCGCCCAGTGCCCTCTTGCTCGCTATCTCTGCCTTGTTAACCCATTGAGGGCTCCCTCACACGGGATTTTCATTCTGCTTTCTGTGGTCTCACTGCTCTCTTTACACACATACACTCACAAATGCACATACACGCACAGTAAAAATTGTGTATCAATATATCTGGATGTCATTGTTTGCAACATAATGAAATAAAATTCTGTAAATATGAGTTATCTGTGTATGCTTTCTTTTGAGGAAAGGAGATGACGCAAACTTCGGGGAGTTCACCGTCGCAGTGTGAGGTCAGATACTGCAGTGCTTCAGTTCATCCCAAATTAGAAAGAAAGGTGCTTTCAAGGACAGCTGCTCCAACAGTCTTCCTTTTCTATTTTGCTTTTAGCTTTAGGCATATTCTCAACGCTTCAATCGGTGTCTCTGTAAATAATAGATTTTTTTGCACTTTTAAGAGCTGATGGTAGTAAATGTTCAATATTTTTGGGGCATGACAACCAGTGACAGCCTGCGGCCTACAAGGATCTGATAAGTTTAAATCAGAGTGAAGCTTTTAAAAAGAAATAGGTCACTTCACTAAAATGTGAAAGCTGCTGCTCTAGACGGTGAATATTATTTATGTATAACTATCTGGCTCTGCTGCACATGTTTTGGTCTGGTGCTACACTGTGGCCTCTTAGCATTTTAAAGGAATACTACACCCCAAAACAGCAGTGTGGGTGTTTATTCTGAAGTGTTGGAAATAAAAAGGTTTTACTTGAAATGCATGTTTTGGAAGAAGTGAGCACACTCTTGGATAAATAATTTATAATCGTTGATTCAAATCCTTCACAGGATGAGTGATCGATCAGAAGCTGTTATTGGTTTAGATAAAGGTACAGATCAGTCCTGACCTAGTGGTAGTTTTTAGTTTGTGGAATGAAAGATAATTTAGGAGGATGAAGTTGATAATTGTGATGTAGAGAGAACGGGTAATACATTTTGACATGTATTCCTCAGGTACAGCCCAGTTATTCCACAGCAGGCTCAGACTGGAGAGGCACAGACATCAGGAGGCAGCAGGGACAGATCAGGCCTCTTTATCAATTATGTACGGTGCCCTAGCCTACTGTGCTCACACACGCACCTGCTCACTCACCCACACAGCAATTACTTTCTCTGTGCCCTGCTGTATCCTGGCAACTGTTGCCAGGATGTCAAAAGTGCAAGCACCACACCTTGCTCCGTCCTGCAGGTTTAAGTGTGGAGAATCTGGGAGTGGTGGAGTGAAGACAAATGCAGAAGGAAAGTTATTACAGCAACATTTTGTGATTTGGTGGTATGATGACAGGATTAAAGCCTTGTGGACTGCTGAGCTAGACGAGCAGAGAAGTAAGAAGGGTTTCATGGGACCAAATGAAAGGATAATAAACCTGTCTGAAACTCCTGTTTCCCAACAGAGGCAGTAGAGTAGAAACATTGGCCTACATCCGGCGGCCACCACTCATGTCTGGCACACGCTTTCCCCTCATGCAAGCTATAAAAATTCAAAAGGGGAAAAAAGAAGAAGCTCATTTATTTTGTATCTAGGTCACCCATTTCTCTCCATCTAACAAAACTGTTATTGATACAGATGTTTATTAAAGAGACAACGTGAGAGGAGCAGCAGAGAGATAAAAGCCAGTATTGATTCTGATAAACTGGCATGATATGAAGGTGTTTAGAGGTTTCAAGGTCAGTTTATACAGCAGGCCTGTCAGTGAGACGCAGCAGCATTGATCCTCTCAGAGAGGATTGAACTATTTTATGCTGCAGGCTGGAATTTCCTAATTAGCATATATGCAACCAGCTACAAGTAGTGTAGACCGAGGGAAAGATATCTGCAGGCTCTGTGTTAATATGTAGGTTTGTGTGTCATCCTAGTATATTTTACGTGAGTCCCACTATAGTTTACGTGACTAGCGTTTTAATCCCTGGAAACCCTGAGGAGGATGATGGGGAGGTTTGGAGCAGCTTTAGGCGAGGTGTGTTACAGGATGTGACGCCCTCTAGTGGCGGCCTGTGTGAGAGGTACATGTCCCTATAAGGACAAAACCTGCTGCTTCCTGCACTGTGTTGAGTGAACAGTGGACACATGGATGTCATGGAAAATATAATAAACCTTTATTCGTCATTTCACTATGTCTTCACAATAATGAATAACCTCATTAATGTGATGACATTTCTATTTGATTCTTAAGTATTGGACTAGGGTCGTAATTTAGGCAAGAACAATTATTTTGTCCCAAATGTTCAACACCAGTTTATGTAAGATCTGATCATTTATAAATATTTTAAAAGTTAACATTTCAACTTCAACTTTTTTTGACCCAAGGATGTAGACCAAAGAAAGAGGTGATTACCACCTTTATTTTAGTTTATGATCTGCCTCTTTGTGAGAGGCACTCTTTTCATTGTATTGTTTTGCACATGCATCAAATGAAATAGAAGCAACTCCTCATGTTCATATCTTTATTTAAAAACCAAACAGTTAAGGTTTTGTTTTTTCATTCTCCCTCCTTCATGCCTGTGACTCCACACACTCATTGCTAAGTCTGTCTGATATGTGCTCACTTTCTCTGTTTAAAGTGTCTTGTGTTGCATTGCTTCCTTTTTATCTCTCCTCTGTAGATCCACTAGTGATGCAGCACTTCTAACTGGGTCAGCCCAGTCTCTCCATGCGGTCCCCTCCCCTTCCCCCTCCTCCCCTTTTTCCTCTGTATATGCATAACATCCCTATGGACCTTTTTCATGCAGCTCATGCTTACCATGTGCATCAGCTCCTTCTTCCTTTTTCTCCTCCCCCTTTTTTCACCTGAATCATTTTCTGTATTGCGTCCTTCTATACAGCCTGTTGCAAAGTGACACACATGCATTTTTACGATTATCTTGAGTTGGTTTTGTTCTTCTTTTTTTCATACAAATCTTAAAAGCTCCTTTCTGGCTTGACAGAGGGTACTGGTTTGTATGTGCAGGCAGAGCACATGTCGCGTTGGAGGCAGCTCTTTGATACCCCTGAGCTGCTGTTTTGATTGGCGCAGACCCTGTGATGTGGTAAAGGATATAGAACACTGATTCATGTCCAATCAAAGTCTGTTACCATGCAACAACGCATAATCTCCATACATGCATCTGTGTACAGTACAAGACAAATACAACACAAACACCAAACATTCATCATAACACTATAATAAGATTTAGTTTTCCCCTGAGGGAGATATATTGCATATGCGAGCACTGCTGTTGCATCGTATCCTGTGTCACAGCCAACATCAGTCACAGCATACAATACTAAATGTGCAACTTAAAAATTAGACCAACATGCACCATACAACCACACCATATGGGGATAATTACATCCTTGTGATGCATATCATTATCTCAGTGAGTGTGACATAAACAGTGGGTGTAAGTGGGAAATAAAAAATAAATCTGCAAATATTTATCATTAACAAGTTGACAATTAACTTTGTACTTCCACTCCACTACATTTATTTAATATCTTTAATTACTTTGCAGATTTAGATTAATGATGTGAAATATAATCAACAATGAAATACTTTTTTTTACCCCTGGAGTACAATCCACACGCTACCCTGCAGCACACTAAGTTATAACAACTAGCTGCACCTTTCTGGCTTTGATAACCCTAATTAAAGCATCAATAATTATAATCAAAACATATGATATACATTATTCTGAAATGGGCCAATCTGCATAATGACTACGTCTACTTTTGGTACTTTAAGTATATTTTGATGCTAACACTTTTGTCTTTTTTCTTGAGTCACATTTTGATTGCAGGACTTTTACTTATAACATACTTTTCCTACACTCTGGTACTTATACTTTTACTTAAGATCAGAGTATACTTCTCCCACCTCTGTTGTCAAGTTAATCATCATTTGTATGTTGTGCTAGGTTTTACACCCAGACAGTAGTAAACCCCGCCCCTCCTGCTGTGATTGACAGGTCTGATCCCGAGACAGCAGGGTGGCCAGTCACGCTCTCGCCATGCAAATGAGCCGCGCTCGGGCCGGGCGGGCGCCCATGTGGACCAGCACCATGCCTTGTTGTTCTGAGCGCTGATTGGCTGGCTGGCACCTGATTGTTCTTCATGCGCTGCGGGCCAGCGGCGAGAAGGAAAACATGGCGGACTCATGACCTGGTCGGGACTTCACCTTATCGGTTCACACAGAGCCAGGAGAGTAGGATACTATGCACGTTTTTCTCTATGAGTAATTAAATAGTAACATTTGGGAGCAGGGGTGGGAAGGAACTAAGTATATTTACTCAAGTAGACTGCTGTACTTCAGTAAACATGTTGAGGTGCTTTTCTTGAGTATTTTCCATTTCATGCTACTTTTTTACTTCTTTATACTTCACTACATTTAAAAGGGAAATCATCTTATTTAACTCCACTACCTTCCTTTAACAGCTTTAGGTATTTTTTACGAAATGCATTTCCAAATATTATAAAGTAATGGATTCATTAAGTTACAAATTAGTCAAATTATTTAAAACTATTTGATCAGAATTGTGTTTGTCTACAACAGTAAAATGCTACTTGATGCCACAATAGTATCTAGAAATCTACAATTATTTATTGTACTTTTTATACTTTAAGTACATTTTCTGATACTTTTGTACTTTTAATTAAGTAAGATTTTGAATGCGAGACTGAAACACTTAGACAGTAATGTATTGGTACTTGTACTCAAGTAAAGAAGCCGAGTACTTCTCCCACCCCTGTTGGGTAGGTATAACCGCGGAGCAGGATGGAGTGATGCGTTCACCGGGTTTTGCGGGCGGCCGTAGTAACAGGGCGGGGCAGGAATCCGGTGGGCGGACCTTAACGAGAACACGACTCGCCTTGTTGTGTGTATTCCCGTGCTCGCATCGCCATCTTGTTGCAATCCAATTTTTTACGTATGCGAGGATCTACTTTCCGTTCGGTCGGATTAAAAGTCGACCGTTTGCTCTCAGGAGAATCACTGGGCACGGGGATCTCGGGCCTGCGGGTGTGAACCGTGCATACGGCGCTTCTTACCGGGAAACTGCCTGCCCCTCCTCGGTATTTTTCCTCCTTCCGTCCCGGGCCACCGGGTCGCCTGCCGAGAGGGTTTTACGCGCAATGAGCATCGATACACTTTTGGAGGCGGCCAGATATCTGGAATGGCAAGCCCAACAACAACAGATCACACGTGGTGAGTCCAAGAGCAGACTGGTGCATGGTGCTGAACCTACATAAGGACAAATAACATAGCCGAAACTGCCTTTTGGGGGGGCCGTATCCCGTTACTATCAGCGACTGGGCTTGCATTTTCATCAGACCCGCCTATGATGAACGCACGCGTTTGTAGTTTGTGTTTATCTGGGTTCATGCCAACAAAAAAAAAGGACGACTGAAGTCTCTGCAAACTCTCTGCTGTCCCCGACTCATTAATTGTTGCACACATTTGTCTCACCTTAATGCGGAAACAAGTCAAAGTTGTCTCGGAACTACTTTACGCGCACTTGATGTCTGTGTGTGACAGTTTCAACACTGTAGTGACTCACCATACCTCTGTGTGCGTGTATGTGTGTGAGAGTGTGATGGGGCTTAGCAGAGGAGTTCCTGTCAGTAACCGATCCATTTACATGTTGTATCTTTGTTATAAAGATACAACATGTACAACTGTAGAGTGTGCAGTATACTTCACTTAAGCTAAAACACATAGGTTTTTAAATATATTTCAAATGGAGTGATTCTCTTCATCGAAGCTTTACACCAGAGCTTCACATATATGTTAATAGAGCCGCTTGCAAAATGTATTTGCCCCTGTTTTGTCCATCGAGCACCGGCAGGGCGGTGTCTTTACATAATACCCTGACATTGCTGAGCTATCTTATGACACACACTTGGGCGGGCCCTCGCACACTCACCCTTCCCTTTTTGTATCTCTGCACGCCAGCATTAACATTTGTGTTCATGTTTCCAAACACTTATTACACACACATGCGAGTTGTCAATCGACATAATAATCAGTGACTTAGTAAAAAGCTAGACGAGCAGGGTTGCTTTTTGTGTTTCTCCCTATGGTTTCTCCCCTATGATGACGTGTCAGACAACTCAACCCCCTCCCCCCGCATACTTACCCTACCGCGTGCTAGAATCCGCCCACAACGACCACGTGCACATTGCGCCCCCCCCATCCGAGGATACACACTACACACACACTCATCATCCCCGCCCTACCCATTCAGTGTACTGACAGTGGCGGGTCAGAGAGAGAAAGGGGGGTAAGTAGGGCAGCCTTCCTGCTCACCCCCATCCCAACCCAGCCTTTCAAAGCAGAAGTTACGTAATTTACCCCCGCGTGCACTTAACAATATTCGGTATGGCGTGTTGGTTGTACTACAAAATCTCAAGCAACGTGTCAAGCGTGCCATCATATGCCACCAGCAATGGTGTAAAGTTACTAAGTACATTTACTCAAGTACAATCTTTGAGTAACTTGTACTTGAGTATTTGCAGTTTATGCTACTTTGTACTTCTACCACACTACAATTCAAAGGTATATGGTGTACTTTTACTCCACTACATGTATGTAATACCTAGTTACTTTGCAGATTTGTATTAATGATGGGAAATATAATCTGACATCACATTCACAAGCTACCCTGCAGCAATTAAAACGAGCTGCACCTTTACCAGCTTTGGTAACACATTATTGCATCAATCATTATAATCAAAACATGATGTATGTTATCAACAATCTGCAGAATTAGTACTCTACTCTTACTTTTGGTACATTAAGCATAAGGGAACACACTATTCCATTAGTGCAGCAACATAGTTTGTATTGCACGTCCTCGCATTAACCTGTACAGGCCGTCCTGAAGTGCACTCTTCTGAGGGAACATTGCATCATCAGGGGCTGCAGTTTCATGTGGAGAAGAAACAAAAGTGTTACTTAACAGGCAGCCAGCACTGTTGGGATGTGGTGTTTCTATTTTCTTTGATAATGGCTGAGCTGTGTGTTGCATGTCAGAGGAATCCCTGGGATCTTCTCTGTCTAATGTGGTTGTTTCCATGGAAACTGAGGGCTTTCCACATTGCTTTGAGTCTTCCCGGTGCAGTTTGCAATAACTGCTCACTTATCACTTACGGTGTGTGTGTTTGCGTCTGCATACTTTACATAAGCACAGCGTGGGAACATTGCTGTCCCACGATGTGATTCAAAACATTTTTTGTTGGTGTGTTTCTGTTTGCAATTCAGTGATGCTTCATGTGGTCATGATGGTCATGATGGTCCTGACGTAGTTCAGCTGCTCGGTGCGGGAACGGTCCATTCACAGATGGGTGGGGGGGTCTCTTTCCAGTCAGGAAACGGATGCAGACATGATTTCTGTGATTATGTTACCCTCCGCACAATGAGAATCTGTGATGACATCATTCTTTTTGTGTAGAGTAGTGCACGTAGTGTTGGGATGAATACAACACCAAAGTGACATCCTCTCTGAATAAGTGATTTGTAGCACAACAATTAAAAAGTACCTGAAGGAAACTTTAATCATTTGTTGGATTTAGGTTGACAAATTACAAGTTTTTAAAATGATTTGCGTGTGTGTTTGCATCTCTTTTTGTTAAGGCAATAGTCCAGTTTATCTATCATCTGAGCCAAGAGCAGGTTTCCCATACTGGTTCAACCACAGGACTGTTTTAATGGCAAACAACATATGTTAACTAAGTGAAAAGTAGAGGTGATGCACGTAACAGCATTAGAGATGGATACATTGCTCCATTGAGAAGATTGTTCAATAAACCAGGATGTGAGCTAACAAGTGACGAATACATTTATTGTGTCGTGCCTATTGGACCTTATATTGATATATAGGGTGTCAGTAATATCTAAAACTTTTTTCAATTGGTCTGCCCCTTATGTACATTTGACTCTCGTCCGCTCTTATCCTCTTGTCCCCCTACATTTTTGGGTGTTATCCATTATCCCCCATGCTCACTTATTGTTCTGCTTCTCTATTTCCTGCTTTCCACAGAGGAGGAGCAGCGCAAAGAGAAGCAGCTCATCAACAGGGAGGCGGAGTCTATGCGCGTGGAACTCGTGACCTCGTTGTCTCAGCCAATTAGAGCCAATCACGTCACTTGGGGAAATGACACTCACCGCCAACAGCCGTATCACCACCCTGCACCCCCGCCCCCCTCTCTCCCATCTACCCAAATCCCCATCACAGTCATACCAATGGTCCCAGTTGTCACTACCACACACTCGGCCCCGCCCATTAATTTCACAGCGCAGATTGCAACGTCGCTCAATGGCTCGCCACCAGCCAAGAACCTTTCCTTTCCTCCGCAGCAGCAGCAGCAGCAGCATCATCATCATCATCATCATCATCCCCATCCCTCCTCTCCTCACCTGTTGTGCCCCCCCCACATAAAAGTAGAGACTAGTCCACAGTTAAAGGTAGAGACCAGTCCTCTGATAAAGGTAGAGATGAGTCCCCTGATTAAGGTAGAGACTTGTCCCCTGATAAAGGTAGAATCTAGTCCCCTGATAAAGATAGAATCTAGTCCCCTGATAAAGATAGAGAGTAGTCCGCAGATGATTGGTGCTCAGCCCAGCCAATCACAACCTCAAATTCAGATTCAGTACACAACCTCCATCAGCACTAATGGCTCCGGCTCTCAACATGCACTGGTTCCCCATCAATCTCCACCTTCATCTCAGCCACGGTCTAATGGAGTACTGGACGACCTGAGGGGGCTGGAAGGGAAGAGGAGACCAGGGGGGTAAGTCTGTGTGTGTCTGGTAAAGTTGTGTTGGTTGGTTAAACCTTTTTATTTAAAAATATTTTATTTTGTGCTTTCAGAGCTGGGACCAGAGAGGTGCATAACAAACTGGAGAAGAACAGGTTTGTCATATTAAACTTCTCATAGTTTAGTTGGTCTCAAATCAACATGGCATTATGAAAAGAAGCCCTGTTTTTTTTTACCTTGACCACTACATACTCACAAAGTTATATAAAATGTTCGCAGCCAAACACATAGCATATCCTCTACTCAATCCTTCTCAAACGGGCAACTTTTGGACCATGAGGTCTCCTTAAATAACTAAAACGTGGTTAATCTCTTGTGCAAATGATGGACTTACTAATGACTGGTGAATATTCTCCAAGACAGTAAGCTAAAGACACACGTATCATAAGTTTGACCCTTTCTCGTTTCTGACTCTTGGCCCTTCAGGCGAGCGCACCTCAAAGATTGTTTCGAGACCCTGAAGAAGAACGTTCCAAATGTTGACGAGAAGAAAACCTCCAACCTCAGCGTTCTCCGCAGCGCTTTGCGTTACATACAGGTAGAGTTTCAAAACATGTTCTTGCTTTCCCAGCATGGTGAGGCTGTGCGCCTTAACACACTGGTGCTGTACTTTAAATATTTGTAGGTAGAACTGACTTCTTGTTTTTCATCCTATTGTTTCTTTCTTCTTGTTTCTTTCTCTGGTATTTAATTGATTGGTTATGCTCTGTGGAGAGCACAGGCTTTGTTCAGTGTAATTGATCAACAATACCGGTTTCATAGCCATTAAGACCTTTGTGTTTTTTGTCTCTTGTGACTGTGATATGGTAAATGAGACTAGAAGAAAGCAGAGAATAAATCCTGTGTTCCTGAGTTTTTAAAATGTAAGACTTTACACATGGAGTTTGCTTTTCTTGAGAACATCGTTTTGCATATAAGCATTTCAGTGAGATTATTATCCAGTGGAAGTTATGTAACTCCATCCTGTAGTCATGTATTGTCTTCCAAGTATATAACAGAAAAGGAACTGATAGTCCCTATAATGAACACATTGCAAAGGATCAAAGCGTGACTTCTGTGGGGAAAGATTTGTGGCATATTGTAGTTGTGTAAAGAATTATAATTGTGTTGCTGGGGGCGGTGAGGTGGAGGGATCTGTGTAGCCGGAAGAGCCACATTTTTCAGTCTTAAAAGTAGACGAGGGAGGATTCTGCAGTGACATAATTTGCAGATCGTTTTAGGTGGTTCGTTTTTTGTGATTAAAGGCATGATTTGAGTTCAGTGGAACATATGCAAAGGAGGGTCTCTGGAAAAGACAAAACAAGACATCCTTTTGCGGGAACGACATGCAGGGGTTTGTCTTTGACATGAGCTGATAAGGGGTTTTTACATACTGCCTAACTAGCTCGAAGTTCCCATATTAAATAAAGGAAAACAAGAAAAAATAAATACCAACCTCATAATTGTTGTCGGTAGTAGTGCGGAATTACTCGGTCAATAAATCAATTAATTTGTCGACATTAATGTAATGACCGAAAGTTAATCAACAACAAATTTGATAACCCAGTAATGATGATCGATGTTAATATGTAGTTTCTGCTACTGCAATGTGAGCATTTTCTTGTTATTGCTGTATTCTTTGTGATTATAAATTGGACATTTTAGATTCAAAACTTGCTCCCTGTGGTTCGAGGGAATTTATTTAGTTTTGACTATTTTCTGTATTTTAAAGATTCAGCAAGATAATTATGTTAAAAATACTATGAGTTTATGTGAAACCCAATGTTTGTTCCTTCAACTTCATTACATTTGAAGAAATGTGTCTCACGTGTAAAACGTGAACTAAGATGCCTTATTTGTGTCGAAGTGAAATGAACCTGGAGCATCCTGCAGGGTACACGCAGGCTGCTGCACAATCTCTCTCTTTAAAATACTTCATTTCTATCCTGGTGTTAGCTGTGTTCTCTGTTCATGAATCACAAATCCAGCCCAAAACGTTTTCATTGGCAAGAGTCTGGCATGGCGAACGCACAGTGCCAGACAGGCTTTCACACAAAAAAGATTAGGCTTTACAATATCACTGATTTAGATGTTAAAAACACTGCATCACCAAAGAAACACACCTTTTTTACATTTCGGAGTTCTTCATAAAACAAAAACATTTCTCTCACATGCTGCCCTCCTGCATTTAGTTAATTTTAGTTTGAGTATTTAGTGGGTTAAAAGACCGGGTGCAAGGACTGAATCTTACATTTGGACTACAGACTTTTGCAATCGATACAATTTGATTCTACGTAGAGTGACTCACTAACATAGCTGCCAAAGTGCCTACATTTTTTAGCTGATTGTCTGTGCTTTGCATATTTCCCCTCCACCGTCTCCTCTGATAATATAATCAGTTGGTTTTATTTAGACAAGCGACTCCCCCCATTCCCCCACCTCCCCTCTCAGTACCTGTCCTCATGTAAACCTCAGCCTCTCCCTCTCTCTGCGCCACGTGAGATCTGAGCACATGGCTACTGCAAGCCCGGTGACGTCACCGTTCGAGGCTGCAGAGAGGTGATAGGTACCGGCTGCAGCAGCGTTACCATGGTTATAACTGTGGAATAGGTACAGATTTTTGCCACAGCTGTATTCAGACATTTTCTCTGTCTTTTGACCCTCGTCTGTCTTAACCTTTTTAATCTCTTCTTCTCTGTCCGTCTCGACCTGTGACTCCTGGATGTCACTTGGTAACCATAGCAACAGGCGGCAGGTGGCAAGAGCACTGGGGTCCACCCCTCCGTGTTTGTCTAGTGTGAGAGTGTGTGTGTGAAAATAATTAAACCAATCATATTCTGGTAATTTTTGTAGATGGTTATTAGCTTCCAGCTTCCAGGTCTTAAAGAGATTCATTTTACTCCTTATACATTCATACATCAACCTAGTGACGATCACATGTCGGCACAGATGTGTGTGTGATCAGCCAAATGCCATCAGACTTGGGTCACTTTCACCTTTTTGTTCTAGAGATGGTGTCTTTAGATGAACGATAAAGAAGGCATAGATGAAGCGGAGGAGGAGGGGGAAGGCTGTCGAGGGAGCGATGGATGTAGGAGTACAAGGAGAGGGGGTGTGCGATGGAAGTGCAGACGGGGGGGTTGGAAGTGAGCTGGAGCATCAGACGGGCAACCACCCAGTCACAGCTCTCCTTATATGTGATTACCTCTCTGCTCCACCCAATTAGATGGCCCCTTATGTTGTTTTACAAACTGCTGCTCAAGCAGCCAAATCCTTATGGAGGAGGTTGCCAAGGAAACTGCTATGGGTGACAGCTGTTTCCTTGGTGATTTGCTGCAACCTTAATGGTGTCTGGGTTTGTAGACCTTGAATTGATGCACACACTGGAGCAGAGGTGGTTCCTCTGTATCTGGCTTCAGCTAGGATGTCTGTTTCAAAGAACATCTGTTGACCGTGTGACTGCAAGTGTGTCAGTAAGGATGTTCTGAAGTGGAGGTATATTCAGATGTGAGTGTGAATTTGATCGATTCATCCACCTGAGGCATGATGCACGGCAGGAGGCGGCCTTTGGGGCGTGATACGGTTGATCCCACCATGCAAAATAAAGATGTGGTTCTCTGACAGAAAAACACAGATTTTCCAAGTTTTTCTCATGTAAGTTTATGAGTTGAATGTGTTTTTATTCTTGTGAATAACTGACATAGGACACATGTTACAAATTCTGGATCTGATTTGCAGTAATTTCTACCTCCACTTCACTCCTGAACTCTAAAGCACATAGATGGGTGTGGTGTTAGATGAGAGATGGTGAGCCGTCTGGATTGGTTACTGTAGCAAACAGGGCCGGTAGCAGTGAGGAAAGCATGCCTGCATGTGAGTCTGTCACGTGCTTGCTGAAAGTAACTGGTTCGTTCACTGAAGTGAGTGTCCTGTTGAAGAATCATGCGCTTATTTTATATCCTCTCCCTCCTGTATTTGCATACTTTGTTTCTCTTTTTGGTTGTGCCAGTAGGACAGGAAACTGTTTCCGCTATGTTTTCTCAATATATATATATACTGTATATGTTGACTATTTAAAAAAGATTGATATTCAGTTGACTGAAATGAACAACTGTCTTATTGGGCCATTGCAGTTTAAACAAAAATAACTCTGTAAGGGGAGGGGAGTAATATTCCATCACAAAATAAATGTTATTTTCACCCAAATTGCCCTTATACGACTTCTAGTAATGACATAACCAGCCGGACACAGCAAAAACCAGGTTTCTGTTTCTGGTTAAAAGCATCGCCCCTTCCTTTTCCCCCCTCTCCATGCCCCTCCACACCTACTCATTTTCCTCCCTGTACCTCTACCTCCTCCCCCACATTCCTCTCTAGTAATCTGTTAATGTCCTTACCCCCGTCATACTGTTTGGTGTTCATGCGTCAGCTGACCCGCACAGAAACTGGGTCACAGACGGCATGGTGGAGCTGGAAAAGCTCTTCCCAAATCTTTCAGTTTAGTCTTCTTTCCTGCGTTTCCTGCTGTGTTTGTCTTCCTAGTTTATTTTTGCAAAACTACAGAAACACGTGACAAGTCTGAGCTCACTAATCATACTTTCCCTCAGTCTTATGTGACTCTAATGTTCATGCTGCAGTAATTAATCTATATCAGAATTGTTGGATTATCTTGAACTGAGGTGATTTGTGGAAATGGAAAAAGGAAGGATGTTTATTCTCAAATTGACCCTGTTTTTGGAAAGACAAGCGTGATATCCAGGAAATGGGAGGAGCTTAGGTTGATGACACCAATGAAAGCAGTGTGAACATGCTTGAATTTGCATGCGTGCCTTCCTGTTGCCCTATGAAGTGCAGGGCACAGGGAACATTTTGTTTCAGGATTGTGCAAGCTAGTAGAAATGTGGGAGGGACCAAGGCTGCACAGAGAAAGAAAGTAGATTCCTTTTCTGTCACAGTGCCAGTTCTTTGAATGATTTAAGATTAATACTAGCTTCCTAACCGTTTCATAAGCTTTATTCTAGTAGTAACGCTTGCCTCAGATGGAACAGGCTTCCGTTTCCCCTCCTGTTTTTGTAAATTGAATCGCCCTCTTTCCTGTTTTATGATCTACTCTTTTCCGTGTTAATTTGCTGTTGCCTGTGTGAGCTATTAATGCAAACTCCCTCTTCTTCCTCCTTCTGTTTCATATTAATAACTCGTGCCCAGTTTTAGTATTTCAGGGGGTATAATCCCTCTAATTCCCTCAAGCTTTTATTACCCCTGCAAACTTAATTAACAGCAGCTTAATAATACAAAGGGAAAAAAACAAAGTTGTATTGATCAGAACTAACCACATGACTGAGGGCGGTATTTTTTGTTAATAAGAAACTCAGAGCAATGAATGTCAATAATTCTGCGGAAATCGATATCACGCAGCAATAACAATAATTAGCATGAATGAATGAAAGCCATTGTCGATATTGTCTGGCCTTTCTTTGTTTATTCAGACTGCAGCTGAATACAGGCTTGTTTCTACAACCATGTTCCTATCACGGTTTCTTTATTATACTGTGATTGTCTATTTGAAGTGTCTTTGAGTGATTTTTTTTTTTGGATCATTTCTCATTTCATCTGCTTTCTGTGTCTCTCTGGAAGACTCTGAAGCGTAAGGAGAAGGAGTACGAGCACGAGATGGAGCGTCTGGCCAGAGAGAAGATCTCGACGCAGCAGCGGCTGGCCGAGCTGAAGAACGAGCTCAGTCAGTGCATGGACGTCATGGAGATCGACCGAGTGCTGCGACAGACCATCCAGCCCGAGGACGACCAGGCCTCCACGTCCACTGCCTCAGGTACAGCGCTGACGGACTACTTCTCACACACATTCATCCATAACTTATACCTTTCTTTTTTAACTTTTGCTTTTTAGTTTGCACACGACACCCAAGGTTTCTCCTATTTTTTTTCTCCATTAACTGTGGAGTTTCTTTGGACTTTTTCCTTGTGAGGGTCAGAGGACAGAGGGTGTCATATTCTTAATCTGTATAAACTATAAAGCTCAGACAAAGGTACATTTGTGATATTGGCCTATGTAAATAAACTTTGATGGATTGAATTTGAAAACTGATCACAAGAGGTGAATTAACAGATAAAGCTTTATTTCTAGAGGCATATGCAAGCCCAAAAGAGTAAGTGGTAGTAGTTATATTTGAATTTCAGTTCACCTCGGGACTTTGTGGCAATGGAATTTTTTTCAATAATACATTAAGATAAGATGGTACTTTAACGATCCCCGAAGGGAAATTCAGGTGTAATAGCAGGAACAGAACAAGAATGAAACACACATGAGAATAAACACCGGGATGATAACAATAAAAGTAAAGTAATTCAACATTTAGTGAGTTAAACTCCAATGAGGTGAATGTACATATAAAGGTATGGACAAGGTTAAGTGTATATATACATTGAAATGTGCAGGTAGCAGTGCGGGGGGAAGTCCTATGTGCATACACATTTACTGATAATACACTCATTCTGACTAGCTGGATCGGTTAGCAGTGACAATAGGACCATTTTATGATATTACATTTTGATTAAGTCTTAACTTTCACCACACCTGCACATACTACGTCAGCAGCATGCCGGTAGACTGCACAGCTGAGGGAGCTTACAACAAACATGTCAGCTTTTTGGAGTTATTTCACGCTATCTTTGCCAGCGAGTTCTACGACTACTTGCAATATCAGCAAAGTAAATGCCTGGAGGGCTGGCCATAGCAATGCTAATTATAACACAACCAACTTAATAAAGCACCTAAAGAAGCATCCTGCCATGATTTGTTTACCAAGTCTATGGTGCACAATTTCCCTTCAATTAAGTTAACATTTTTCAATGCTTTTTTGATGACTTTAAGTTTTCCAAAGTTAGGAAAGTAATGTTCTGCCTGATGACCCATTACGCATAAAATAATGATCCAAAGAGGCAGCTTATTATTAAAACGCTGGTTTCAGATACGTACTCTGTATCGGAACTGAAATGTAATCAGTGCATCTTTATTATTTAAAGGGATACCATTATGCAAAATCCACTGTTTCATGTCTTTTATATACACATGTGTCCCCTCTGTGTAAAGAGATTCTTAAAGTTTCAGGAAAAAAGATTCGCTCACTTTCTGTCCTGATCCTTTTATATAAAAACCTGTCTGAAAATGAGCTGATCAGATTTTGGCCACTTTATGATGTCATAACGTTTTTTTGGCTAGTGTAACCATTAGCCAATAACCAACCAAGGTAACTTCCCCCCCCCCCACCTTATCACCTGAATCTTCTCCTGAGCACCATTGTGTTTTTTTAATCAAATATCTCTGAGGGGCGTTGCAACATCGTTGCTTGCTTTAAAAGAAGCACAATTCATTATGTCAAACCTTGGAAAGTATCTAGATATCCCTGCCCTAATGCCAAAGTAACTGGCAACTGAATATGTTTTGCCGATTGATGTCTGTCTGGACCGCTGCGTAAAAAGGACCGCAGCTCCGTGTTGAGGGTTTCTGCCCTGTTGCTTCTCCGCTGTTTTCTTGTCCCTCTTGTCTTTTTCTTTTCTTCACTGGGGACTCATCAGCCACTAACCATTCATCCAAATTACTGTGCTCTCCAAATATATTTAAATTAATATTGAAATCCTCCATGTTGCTCTTGGACGGTAGACAACGGAAAACTAAAGACAGGCTAACAGTTTGAAAAGCAAACTGTCTACAGTTCAATCGACCAGACTTCTTTCTGCAGATGTGATAGTCCTTAACAACGGTCAATAAATCCTTGACAGCGGGCTTTACTACTGGATTAACAATGTGTCACGTGTTCTGAATTGACCAATCAGAATCGAGTATACAACTAAGCCATGTAATAAGCACATATAACACATACAGATGGCACTTGTGTATCTTATTCAATGTTGCATGTATGTAGACCACTGCATTATTTGGTCACTTACAACATTCTCTGCAACATTTAGCGTGTTTTATTTTTTTGACATGCATATAGTTTACTTCATCTGCACATTGGTCTTGCAACATAATCTTGCACTATTTTTTATATTTATATATATATATATGACAATAAAGGCTTTTCCAGGTAGGTACATTTCTATGGGGGTATGATGGTTCGAAAATAAGTACCGTAATTTTCGGACTATAAGCCGTGCCTTTTTCCCCATTTTTCGACCCTGCGGCTTATATAACGGTGCGGCTAATCTATGGATTTTTAAAGCTAACGGCCACGTAGGGGACCTCCTAAATCTATGGTATTTTACAGGTTATAGTCCACCACCTTTAACTCTATGGGCTCTAGGGCCGGTCCGCGCCCCCCACCTTTAAGCGGCGGGCTCAAGCAGGAAAAGCTGGAGGCCGGAAAAGAGTGAGACAGGTAGCGCGCAAAAGTAAAAGTGGAACCGAGAGTGGTACGAGAGACAGAACGAGAGCAAGACAGACAGACATTACGATAGCGAGACAGTTTGTCCCCGTACCACTGGTTGAAAACCACTGCCGTAGATCACTGCCGGTACGTGCGCTGGGAGCGCACCGTTTAAGTTTGAAAGTTGAAAAGTTTGTGTGTCTGAAACGCTATGTGATACAGTACAGTTTACACAGCACAGTACATGTTCTGTAGCTACTATTGCACTAAATGGTAACACTTGAATACGTTATGCAAATATGCAACTTGTTTGTTGAAATGTTAATAAATGGGAGCTTCCTCAAACAGCCATCTCTTTCCCGACAATCCCCTCTGTGCACGAACCCTTACATATGGTAATTAAACATTAAAACACCTGCGGCTTATAGTCCAGTGCGGCTTATATATGTACACATCATTCAATTTAGCTGCTGCGGCTTATATTCAGGTGCGCCTTATAGTCCGAAAATTACGGTAGTAGGATAAGGTGAAATATATAAATATATATAACGATTGAAAAAACAAATACAGAATAAAGACAAGTATTTAAATATGCATAAAGATGATAATAAAGGCAAATATTTAAATATGCAAAAAAAGCATAACAAATGTGCACAGTGAATATATGACAAACTGCAGTGTATGATATTTCAAAGTGGAGGGCTATGCTGGATCATCATGACTAACAGTTTCCTCTCTGGTCCACAGAAGGAGAAGACAACTTTGAGCAGGACATTGACGACGATGACCCGGCCCCTCTTGCTCCCCCCTCCCTCTCCAAAGCTCCCGTTATACATGCCCAGCAGCTGCTCACCTCTCACCTGTCCATCCAGCACGCCACCCTGCCTCTGGGGGTCCTGACCACGTCCTCCCCCTCCGCCCCCCCTCAAGCCATCGCACCGGCGCCAGGCCTGCCCCCTCCACAGCTCGCACATCCCATCCAGCAGCTCCAGCCCACCGTCATCGCTCATGCTGCCATCTCCCACCCGTCAGTCATCCAGGCTGTCAATCACGGCCTGCCGTTGAATCTCAAGCACCTAACGCATATCGCCCCGTCCCCCGGCCCCATGTCCTCCATGTCCTCCATGTCCTCCATGCCTCAGACAATCGCTCCAGGTGCTCACCAGCAAATATCCGCGCAGCCCATCGGACACATCACCGTCCACCCCTTGGCTCACCTGCAATCCCACCTCCCGACTCTCTACCCCCAGGGCGTGTCAGTCTCCCAGCCCACCATGGTGGGACACATCACCCACACCTTCACCCATCACACCCTGCCCCACGTCCATGCTAACCCTCAAGCTAACACTAACGGAGCCCAGATGAACAGCACAGCCGTCATCAGCCAGGGGCACCCGTCGCTAGGGAAACCCACAGCAGTGCTGGCCCCCCACCCCCAGCTGGTTGGTCAGGCTGCGGTCCTCAACCCTGTCACCATGGTAACAGTCCCAACCTTTCCTGTCAGCACGCTCAAACTGGCCTGAAAGATGAACAAAAAAAGAAAAGTGGGAAAGATTCTGAACTGAACTTCCGGATGAACTTTCACACTCCTGTCAATAATCACTAGCAGAGAATCTCTGACGAAACATTCACCAGGAAAAAATTGTTTTTTCTGGACCACGTGTGACGAATATCTCCAGAGATATTTCAGTCTCAGCTCGTTCGTTTGTGAACATTGACGCAGAGTCGGTGGGTGAGGCCATTGTTTGTGAAGATAAGACTGTGACATTTGTCTGCGCTGCAAAGACAGGAACTCTGTTTGAGCTTCCTTTACACCAGAAGCACTAACATTATAAGCTCACACTCAGGCATCTAAGATTTACCTTTACCATTCATCCACTCATCAAGGGAAAACGCACGAAAGAGAGATTTGTTTGTCGTGAGGTTGTTGCCGTGGTGATACAGTATGTGCTTGTTTTTGTGTTTATATATTCATGACGTCACGTGGGACATCCTGGAGAAAAGCTGTCACTGATGTGTTTGAGAGCAGAGGAGGGATCTCGCTGATCCGAATGAATTACAGAGAAGTGTGATCAAATATGAGGTGCACCACATTACATGGCCAGATCTACAATTACAAAGAGAAAGACAAAAAGAAACAACTGAATCATCTTTGTGTGATTTCTGTTCAGCTGACAGCTTCTGATCATGTGAGCAAGTGTCCCATTCAACAGTGGAGTTATTTTATCCACTTCCCCTTTGGCTCTCTTTATGGAGGACTCTAAAACAGTGGAATGTTTAAAGATTGTAATATGAGACTAGATATTGTATATTGTACTAGATATTTTTTTAAAGCACTGCTGGTCAATACTAATTGGTCAAAATAGTGTCCCTTTTAAAGGGTAGAAGAAGGGTATAGATAACATGGTTTGCTTAACATACAGAAGCCTGTTTTAGTGGCCTTGTGGAGAAGTCTAGAGAGAACATGACCTTTGCCTGTTAGTTATTGGAGATTTGATTTCCTTGTAGGAAGTCGACCAAACACATTTAAAGGTAGAGCAATACGTTAAAGATAAGCAGTCATAAAGTCTGAGAAAGACTTCAGACTAATGCTGTCAGTTATATTTATAAAGATAGCACATTCCACTTTTGTCCCACAGAGAAAGGCTCGACCATAAATAAATGGCATGTTTGTAAACCAATCAAGTCCTGTAATAGACTGTCTGGACATCAAGCTGAACAAAAATCTATATTGTCACAAATACATGACAAAGATGGGGGGGAAAAAAAACCCTTAAAACTGCTCTCGAAACACTCAGTTACAGGTATCCTATTCAGGGCTACGCAGATTTTTATCCTCTTCACTCTAAAGCAACAGCTCCCCCTGCTGCCTCATACTGATGCTGCACATGCACACACAAACACACAATACACACATACATACATACATACACACACACTCAACACAATGGGGGCACAATGCAAAGATAATGCACAGGCTTTAAAATGTGTAAAAACAAAGAGACTGTTGAGTCTAAAAGAACTCTTGGCCTTTTGTAACATAACACATCTTAACTCAAGTAAAAATCCTGAGTTGTGTACTGCATTATATTACATACAGTATGGGACTTTGGTCACATGATTAACTCAAAAATGCTGGGAGGAGTTGAGATGTGGATGAAAGCTCCAGAAGAGATTTGGAAATAGCTCTTTAAGCGTGAGAAGAGTTTACACTTTAATGCCATTTTGTGAAGGATAATTTGGCAGAAATATGACCCTTTCTGTATATCAAATTATAGCGAACACAAAGCCAAATCTTCTGCTCCAGACCAGAAAATGTGTTGAAACCCACTTGTCTTTGCGTATGTCTATGTATGTTAATGTGCACACACTCAAAATGGCTTCACAGCCTTCTTGCCAGCCTATACATGTCACACCATGAAATCTCCCATCAGTATATGTAGTCACTGTCCTCTGCTGTGTCTGTGTGTTATGTCTGTATATGTAACTATTCAATACGTTTTATATCCTGTACTATAGTTATCCTACTGTACCTGTAGCATGGCTGTTTTTGGTTCTGCAGTTTGCCCCGTGCATGATGGAGTGTGTGCGTGTAGCAAGCAAGCTATTTTTTTACACAGAGTTGATTTATGGGATGAGTCTGTCTGGGTGCTATCGTGTGTGCCTTAACTCAGTTTTACTGAACACTGTGACAACTCCGGCAAAACACGAACACAATGAGCGAATGGAAGAGACAAATATTTACTGTCATGATTGGATTTTTTTTTACGTTTTTAAGTTTTCCATTTTGTGAGATGGACTGAGACAATGAGTGGAAAAAGTAAATAAAAAGAAAAAAATATGCTCTTTTCTGGATAACATAAGTTCTAATATTTGAGTTTTGTAATATTTGTATGTATGTATGAAAGTTTTGTAAATTTGTGATTGTATGCACGTTTTGGCATATGAGTGTATGTGTCTTAAAATTTTAAACGCTTGTTTCTTTTTGGTTTTGTTGCATGTAGATTGCCGGTTAAGTTTCTTTTGTATAAACGTTTCGTTTTTTTTGGGACCATGTACAATACTGTATAACGTGGGCAGGATCTTGGACCTCATGCTACATTGATATTATATATGAATATAAAAACATGTTTTCCCTATGGAGAAAGTTTTAAGTTATATATCGCCTGTACACTTTGGGCTGCCTTTTAGATCTAACTGTCCACTGTTCAAGATAACAATGATGATAATGGATAAAACATATTAATGATGAAGAATTTTGCTGATGAAATAATAAAGATTCTTAATAAATCTTATTACATTTACAACACATCTTGCTCCTGTATTTATTTATTTTCTCCTGTAACAACATAAACCATCTGCAGTTTGAATGTTTTTTTATTGAAATGTTTCACTTGTCCATACAAAACATCTAAAACTAAAGATTACAAATAAAACTTAAAAAAACAGTTGATTGAAAAGTAGTACAATATGAAAAATGTTTATACATTTAAGACCCAACTATCACCTCACTACAATGTCCCCTAGATGGCAGTTTTACACCCTTATCAAGGTTACTACAAGAGAAGCATTTGATTAAACTAATAGAATAAAAGTAATAATGAATGTGAAGCAGCCGAAAAACTCTCTCTTTGGAAGAAGTGAGACCTGAACATCTTGAACACAACCCTTTTTACATTGAGGGTTGTTTCTAATGAGCTTTTTTGAATGGCGTTTATTCATCTAACGGATCTCTGGGTGTGTTGTTGGGATTGTGGAGTGGTGGCTCCTTTTAACCATAGCACCTTTTTTTCCAAAAGAAATGTTTGTGTGACCCTGGAGGACCATGATGCCAGCCTTCATCACTTTAAGATGGTAAGTAAGTCCATTAAACAAGGACCCTAATGTAAATGAGTTCCATCTTCTTTTTGCTCCTCATGCATCAGAAACGGAGCTTCCTCTGTGTTCCTGGTTGCTCAGAAACCGTCTCTCTGGCTTTGATGCATGTGCTGCTGGACTCTCTACAGCACCTCCTGCATCTTCCTCAGCTACAGAAGGTAAAGTAAAGGAAGTGAGTGTTGATTATGACCTCTGTAACCAAATTCATTAAAGAAGGAGTTAGTGAGAGAAACGTACCGATGAGCCTTTGCGTCTCGGTGTCAGCTGCAGCCAGCGGCAGGGAGGAGTCTGCTACGCTGCGCTCCTGATGCATGACACTACAACCCGCAAATACATCAATAAGAGCTGCCTGAGCATCTACCTTCATCATCACATAACATATACAGGACTGTCTCAGAAAATTAGAATATTGTGATAAAGTTCTTTATTTTCTGTAATGCAATTAAAAAAACAAAAATGTCATACATTCTGGATTCATTACAAATCAACTGAAATATTGCAAGCCTTTTATTATTTTAATATTGCTGATTATGGCATACAGCTTAAGAAAACTCAAANCTGCTACGCTGCGCTCCTGATGCATGACACTACAACCCGCAAATACATCAATAAGAGCTGCCTGAGCATCTACCTTCATCATCACATAACATATATATTTTCAGAAATCAAATTATATTCAAAATGACTTGAAAACAAATCCCTCTCCTAGACGCAAACTTAGTTTAGTGTAACAGGTTAGTGTACTGTAAATAATAATCGAGACTTGTAAACATAGGGATGCTAAAAAAAGAAGCCATTAGAGAGAATTGTAGGCTCATAGAAAGATTTCCATCAATCAAACTGTGTAGGTGTGAAACCTGACTCCACCCACCTCCATGCGCGTCATATTTGAGATGCACTGGGCTCTAAAATTTTCATAGTGTGTCTCGCCCGTTTGGTCTTTCAGGTCCTGCATATGGGTTTTCACCAACATGTTCCTCAGCAGCAGGAAGTCGGAGTGAGCCGGGTTCTCCACTGAAATTAAACGACAACGTGTTACCAGATCACACTGATGTTCTCATACATACCAGAATAAAAGAAATGCATAAAGATGATGCAAAAATCAAGGTGACGCCCAACAAATGTCCAGGGCCATTTTAAGAGCTAACCAAAAGAAAAAGCGAAGACACAAACTTCTCTGCAGGGACGTGCACAGACATTTGGAGGGGCTATTGCTCTAAACTGGAAAAAGGGCCATTTATTTAGTATTCCATAACTTAATATCAGAGATGGTCAAACTAAAGTAGAGACATGGCAGCACTCCTACAATGAAGCGGGACAGTGAAGTGTTCTCCCGTATGTGAGAGGGCGATCAAGAAAAGAGAGCGAGCGCGCCCCGTCGAGGGAGTTTACAGATGAAAAGACACAAAAAGACAGAAGCACAATAACAAGTATATTTAGGTGTTTGTAAATAACCGACGGTGTCAAGAGGAAGTAAAGTCCCCTGGTTTGTCCCCTACTCTAAATGCCATGAGAAAACTCAAAATCAATATAAGCATATTTAAAAACGGGGACATTTCCGGTGACAGATTGACTCGGGGATTGGCCACCAAAGCCAGTCAGGCATTTGGTTTGATCACCATAGCTATATGAGGCCGGAGGGCTTCCTTTGCTTTCAGCTGTCAGATTGTAAACAAAGTCACGTGACTTGGGGCAGATGAGAGCGCTGACAAGGTCTGTTTTATCGCAGCGAGACGCTACGATAATAATTGTGGGCTTATGTTGATTCGGTCACAACAGAAAGAAAAAAAACTCTCGCTCACGGGCTGTTGCCCGGGCAACAATAGCCCGTACCTGTGCACGTCCCTGCTTCTCTGTAAAACATTTGAACGGATATAAAAGTATTGAGAGTGTGTTACCTTCTACCACACCCCAGGGATAGACTCGACCTCTGACCTTGTGGCCGTCACTCTCCACCTGAACATTACTCCCAATTACTGCAAACGGGATGCTGTCCTGCAGGGAGAAGCCACACATCAGTGAACTGTTTAACATGGAAGAGCCATTCAATTTTAAAGAGAGAAATTAAAGTAAATTGAATAACCTTGAGTAATTGATCCTGTTTTTTTAAGTCTTCATCCTCATCTGAATCACACTCAGGAAACTGATAGATGTTGATCCCAAAGTGCTCGATCTGCTCTCTGATCTACAGTACATGAACACATAATAATGAGAGATTAGAGAATGAAAGAGAGAAATTGACAGAAATACAATTGAAAAAAAGATATCTTCAATACGTGAACTCTCCCTGACTGATGTGTGTGCTTATGATCTCATACCTTCATCTTCTTTCTCTGGACCTCTGCTTCTGTCAAGCTGTCTGCCTTGGCCACTACAGGGACTATGTTGACTTTGTTGTGCAAGGCCTTCATACACGCCACATCCAGAGGTCTAAGACTGAGACAAAACAGTAATGTAAGTGTCAACGCACACATGCAGAAACATCTTTTATGTGCAAAAGTCAAAACATGTTAGCGTACCCGTGGCCATATGGAGAGATGAAGTAGAGGCAGCAGTGGACTCTGTTGTCCTGGATGTTCCTTCTGTTCAGCCCGCTCTCATCTCTGAAGTACTGTTCAAACTGCTTGTCGATATAGTCCTCTAATGGCTTCCAGCTGATGCAAACAAACAATCTCTGTGAGTCAAAAAACAAAAACAACCCTAACGGACAGTTTATAATGTGAGGATGTGAAGATAAAAATGTTGAATAAAACGTAACTCTTAGATTTTCTATACATCTCCATGTGCCTCTATGAATGCATTTCCGTCTGATTTGTGTTGGTGTATTGTATACCAAGTAAATGTTTGTATATATTTATTTTCCTGCCAATGGTGTTTCCTCACTGTAATTCTGTAGTTCCTGATTTCATGTTGTATTAAATGCTGCTAGTGTTGAGAGCAAGTGGTGTAACATAGTATTCGTATGAAAACGGTTGATAAAAGTTCCCAGAATTAAATCACATGACGACACATGAGGCAGGGAGGGTAAAACAAGCGCTCCTGCCTGGAAAGGTACCAACCCCCTCAGGTGCAATCACTTCACTTAATGAGAACTTATATGCTGCCTTCCTCCATATGGGCCGTTTCTCAATGTCCAGTAAACCTGCTGCAGAGCCACTATTTCAAGTAGACTACGTCATCGAGTGGCCCCGAAGGACTGTTTAAATGCATGTTAAATGCCCAGCATTCGGCGCCACTCGATGACGTAGTATACTTGAAATAGTGGCTCTGCAGCAGATATACTCGACATTGAGAAACGGCCTTGGTCTCCTTTTGTTTTACCTCAGTCATGATGTGTGCTTCCTGTGAGTTTATTAACACTCTAATGACTGACTTATTTAATTATCACACTGTATCTGTTGGGATGTTTTGTCAATGAGTATGAAGGAGGAGAACATATGCAGGGTAAGCGTGTTGATGACTTCACCTTCCTGTCTCGTTGATGGAGTCTCCAAACCCTGGTGTGTCGATGACGGTGAGCCTCAATTTGATTCCTTTCTCTTCGATGCTAACTGTGTGTGTGAGAATGCCCACTGTTTGATTGATCCGTTCTGCAGACACATACAAGTGCAAAGTAATCAAATGTGTGTGTGGGCAACAAGCCGAACACACGCACGCACGCACGCACGCACGCACGCACGCACGCACGCACGCACGCACGCACGCACGCACGCACGCACGACACACACACACACACACACACACACACACACACACACACACACACACATCCCCCAGGGTAAGAAAGTAGTAGTAGCAGCAGTATAAACAATTACATAGGCATCATATAAATAGCCACATGGATCCTACAATCTATGCTAGAATTAAGGACTTTTTTAAATTTCAAATGCAATTCTTATTTTTTTATTAATAAAATATATTACTTTGGAGAAAACCTGGGCTCATCTCACCTTCTGCATTGGGAACCTTCCTGTCTTTGTAGAGGTCCGTGAGGAACAAACTGTTGATAAGTGTGGATTTACCGAGGCCAGATTCTCCTATGGGAAGAGACAGCCATGACTCTGATGCAACATATATAGTAACACAACTATAACAACAAATAAAATGCTTCTTCACACATAAAACAAGATGACAAAAGACCACACTCCTACTAATCAGATATATCAAAAAATAATGGTTAACTCACCTGCCACCATAAGGGTAAATGTGAAACCTTTCTTCACCGTCTTCCTCTGAACCTGGTGGGGCAATGTGGCAAAACCAACATACTCCTTTTCCTGATCCTATAGAAATAAAACATAACATGTATTTATGTGCATATGATTTGCATCCTCAAAAGCTTCACAAGTCTGAGCTGCACTGCAAAGCATCATGGGAAAATGTCTTATTGATTATGCACACAACTGTCCTTTTAAGGGTTGAGTCTGTTTTTCAAGATAAGGTAAATTTAAGGTTTTCTAAAAAAAGAAATAGATGCAAGAAGAATCTAGGATGAGTTCAGAATCATGTACAGACGTTGGAAATGAATGACAAACCATATATAACTAAGGCTCTTCAGAAACACACCTCTGCAGATTCATAGGGATCAAAGCGTCCCCATGGGCTGTGAGGACGTGAGGCCGGGCTGAGAGGACGCTCCATGGACGAATAAGAGGCGAACTGCCTCCTCAGCTGCAGGGAATGAAACTCTGCGTCAGTTCTCACACGAATTGATCTTTGAGGGACAGTCGGGGATCCAGAAGCGTAGACGGGGATGGGACGGGGCAGAGAGGGAGTCCCGGGGAGGCTGGGGAGTCTGCCGTTCGGTGCTGTCCCGCTCCCCTCTGCCTCATGGTGGTCTTCTGTCTGGTTCTGTTCGCCAGGCTGAGACACGGGAGGCAGATCCCTCATGGCGTACGGAAACTGAGTGTCCTCCTGGTCCTCGATGGACAGATTGGACAACTGTGACAGGGGGAAGCAGTTCAACACTAAGGTTACACACTAAGGGTTTTATATATGGACTATCTTAAGTCTCAATGGTAAGTCACTTGTGATTCTAATTTCCTATCTGCATGGAAAAATGATGGCCCAATAAATGATTTAATCTTGAGTCCAAACTAAGCAATTACAGTAATGATTGTTATACACTAGATTACATTACATTTAGATGACAATTGTATGTAAAGTGACTTAAAATAAGTAATTATTATTGTGTCTTTTGTTGTAGTGACAACCCTTTATTCACTAATTAGCCCTGGCTTGTGATCCCATTATATCCCATTAGAGGCCTTCATCCATCTGTCAAGGAATGGTGGGGAGTTTGGGTAGTACTAGGAAGGAAGTTTAGGGCAAATCTTTCAGTGTGTTGCTTATGCACACATAGCTTGTGGGTAAAAAAATATCAGGGCCATATGACTGACCAAGCGCTCCACACCTACTTTGGATGGGTCACAGTTCATTTCCCCACAGAGGGACTCTACTGGTTTTCGTGAAAATAGGAGGACAGCAGAGCCTCCACACCTGCTTTACAAGAGATTAATTTTCCCGGTCTGAAGACGGCAGAAAGAACAACACAGTGCTGATGGCCTGATCAGGGTTCATCTGGTCCCTTTACCTGTCAGCTCTCATTACCCACAAAGCTTTGCAGGAGGCTTAGCCCAGCTTCTAATGCTCTGACAAGGTGGGGGGTGGAAGACTTAATTCTTTAACACACACACAAGCTATTAACACAATCACTAACAACTATTCTACAAGTTTGTCCTACCTCCTTTTCTGAGAACGTTGCTGTTTTTTGAGCAAAGGACAGCAAATATAAATGGAAAAAATAAATACAAATACATAGAGAATTGTTGTATAAACTGGACAATGAGAATAACAATGCATATGTCTGTAAGCACATTTCCATAATGTACCCTCCTGCTATCAATAAACAACATTTAAAATCAAACTGCACACATTTTAAGGTGACATGACAGAACACTGTTGGAGTATAACAACATTGTCTTTCATAGTTTGTCACAGACGGGCAGGTCTGTACTGACAGAGTTCTAACAACATGTTGCACACAAAAACATTCTTATTTATCTTATCTTACTAACAACTACATTTCAAAGGCAAACCATGAACCTAAGTTGCTTAACGATAACCATGAATATAACTGCCAAACACGTATATAAATCCCTGCAGGAACATTATAGGCTGCTTTTATTGATGTATCATGTAGCTGAGCATTTAACGTTGCAGAGACATTCGGTTATTTTGATAAATCGGTGAAGCAACCTAGTATAAGTGTATAAATGGTGACGTACCTTTCTTAGTGCTGCGGAACCTGACCGGAGACGACATGTGCTGCATGTCGCTGCTGGCTTACACTACAATGTGAGTGTTGCCGAAAAATACCAAACTATAGAAGAACTAATACAATGTGTTGTTGAGACATATGGTGTGTGCAGCGTGTGTGTGGTGGTGTTTGTGTGTGTGCTGAGCTCCAGCTGCAGCCCGCTCAGTGTAGCCGCTCTGACGTGGTAGTACCAGAGGGAGCAGCCCGGTGGTGTGAATCAGGCAGGTCAGGATGCTAACAACAGCTAAGCTACTGCTACAACTACTAGTAATAATTTATAATAAACAATAATAATAACAATAACAATAAAAACAGTAATAATAAACGTAACAAGGATTATAATAATTACACAACTGCTACTACCTACTTGTTCATATTAATGAACATTGCGCCAACCCTTATATGACATTTAAGCTAGTTTCCATCTCTTTGGCCCTAGGCTAAATTAACCCGGTTTAGGACTGTTTTTCCGAAATGCAATGGGAAGAACCTTCGGATAAATCGTAAAATTCACCTCAGCGTGGTTGTCCATGTTGTCCATGTTAACTTTTTAGCTAGCTCTTATTTATTAACTTCTCAACTGTTCGCTTGATTGCTGAGTTTATTTTTGAAAAGTAACGGTGGGCTAGTTGCCGTTAGTCCTCGATTAGCCCTTTGTCATGTTTACAGATGTTTACAGATGTTTCTGTTTAACATTTTACCAAGGTCGTTCACATCAGTATATATTTATTTTTATTAAATTACAGTTGTGCTTTTATATGTTCACAGCTCAGTATTTCAGACAAAGTGTAAAACGTTTAAACAGAAAATACACAAGGCATTGTTATAAATAATGCACAGTGCAGTGTATTTTACAGTAGCCTACAAAGTAGGGCTGCTCAATTAATCGTATTTTAATCGCAATTACGATTTTGGCTTGCAACGATTATGAAAACAACATAATTGAAATTAAACGATTATTATTATTATTATTTATTTTTTTATTATTATTGCGTTTTTCAGTTGAATTATACTTAAAACTTCAGGGTAATACAACTGTTAAAAAACATACTGTTTCACATTTTTTTTTAAATCTAAATTGACGTTTTTCAAAGTAAAATGGATAATCGTTTTTAATAATCGTGATATCGATTATTGACCCAAATAATATAGATTATGATTTTTGCCATAATCGAGCAGCCCTAGTACAAAGTGCCATGTGTTTCACAGATTCTCACTGGAGCCCAAAGGATGATTTGGCCACATAATTTCAGATGACCACAGATAGTATCGCCATCATAAAGGTATTCTGATAACAGGGTTCCAAAGGGTCTTTAAACACTTTTGAAAAGGAATTAAATTAATCTAAAATCAATCTTTGAAAAGCCAAGGTAAGTAGGATACTATAAATATATATTTTAGACATTTCGAGTTAAAATCTCTGATCTATTTATAAATAATTTTCCCAATGCATCTCACATACACTGAAAACAGAGATAATGTGGTGTCTTAACACAAGGACCAAACACCAATCACACATCTCTCATCAGCTTGTTTTGGTTATTTTAAAGTTGGTCAGGAATTTTGTTCTGAGTGCCTTTCAAATTCTTAATTGCCTTAAGCTGTAGGAACCATGTGATTAAGAAAAGAGACATTTGTAGCACAAAAATGCAAAAGTTATGTTTGAGGTAGGCTATCTAAGAAACTGTGTTGCCATTAAGTAGTTTGTCTACCAGAGAGAAATCTTTTTCGGTCATGTGCTTGAATACATTTCGGACAATATACTGCTTTTGAGTTCAAATGTAACTCTGAAATATGAACGAAAGCCTGTGTTGTGGGGATGTGGTTGAAATCACATTGGTTTACAGAACAAAATGAGTCATGCACTAGCAGTTCTCATGAATCAACATACACATCTGTTTTGCTTTTAATTTAAAATATCACATACACTTGCAATGTTAGGCCTCTGCAGGTTCTCTGTATAACTTAAACTATGTAATAACTTTCCCAGTCATTTTAAAAAGGCACAATTGTCTTTTAAAAAAAATGTATTCCTGAAAACTCTTCTTCATCTTAGCCATCAAAAAAAGCAGTCAGAGAAAAGAGCTGTCCTCTTCAGCTCTGTCCCACAGCACTCTGCATGTCCTTCTCTGCCTGTTAGAGCGTCCTAGCGAAGTGTTGACCTGCAGCTGTTGTGAGGTCTCCTCCTGGACTTCTGGTTGTCCTGAGGGGTTATTCCGTTCAGAGGATTTAGTCCCATTTTCGCCTGAGTCTACGCTCGTCGACTTGCAACACGTCTTGCTCTTCTCTTGTGAGTGATCCTTACATTGTCTGCTCAAACAGGAGTGGTTGTCCTCTGGTCTCATCTCATGGTTGTCATGCTCTTCATCCGAATGTCTCTCAGGTGTGCTATTTAGATTTTGGCTCTCGGTGAGGTGATTAGGCTCCGTGTGGTTATTTGCATTGTCTGAATGTAACTTGGCGTCAGGGCTGTGTCTTTGTGTCTGTGAGCACCGGGTTTGTTCATGAGAATCAGGGGATTTATCCTGGTTCTGAGTTTGGTTTTGGTGGTTGTGGTTCATCCAGAAGCCTCTGCTGAGCTGCTCTAACTGAGAGAGCTGAGGCAACCCGATGTCCAGGTGCATCAGCAGGTTCTCCAGCCACTCCTCCAGCTTTGAAAAGGAAGGACTGAAACACAACGAGTTGTAGTGAGAAACTAAAGAGCCCTCAAATGACACATTAGTAACCTGTTCTGCACTGTAGTAGTTTAGTTTGTGGAATGCATTTCTAAGAACACTATTTGCCGTCTGTTTAATGTATGGATGCTCATACTTTAGTTTTGATACAGTCAACTTTTTACACTCTCCATCAACTGACCATAACACTTATATATTTACATTTTAAAGTGCAGTTTTCTACTGATCTTTAAACTAATTCCAAAAATTCCTAAATATAATATTGCAGTCCTTTGTGATATGTTTATCATGCAAGTTAATCGCTCTATAATGGTAAAAACAAAACAATATGTTGTTCTGTATATAAATGAGGTTGAATTGCAGTTTCTTTACAACATAAACCACCACAGCACTTCCTCTAATAATGAAACGCCTATTTGTTCTCAAACTGAAATGTACTGAATAGCTGAAATGTGATTTGAAACTAAATATAAAACCGAGGCAGGCTACTCAATCTTACTGAGCAATATTCAAACATGAATATTCATACAATGCTTTATTAATTTAGATCTGCGGTTTTACTGGATTTGTGCGTTCATACCGTTTTTCAGCGTCCATGTCACAGCAAAGCACACCCAGCGGCATGAAGGCGGGGGGGCACTGAGGAGGGTGGTACTGCTGCAGGAAGCCGGACACATTTAGCCCAAAGTCATTTGACCGGGGAAGGTAGTCGGGGTCAGCGTTCACTCTACCTATTATCTTGAGAGAAACAGAGAAAGATACGTCCTTAGCTTCACAATGGATAGTGTGCTTTTACATTCAACACCACATTTTTGGAATTCTTGAGAAGTTCTTACCTCACATATCATGATACCAAAGGAAAAGATGTCCACCCGTTCATCATAGGTTTTTCCTGAGAAGTGCAGAGGAAAGATTGCAAAATGTAAACCAAATCTGACCCATTCTGTTTTCAGGGTTTTATTATTAGACTTGTTATTTTACCATAGAATAGTATCAGGTATCCTACAGGGTTAGTTCCTTCTTTGCACATTTTATTAAAGTGCAGCACGTCTGGTATCAAGAGGCAGGTTGAGGTTAGTCATAGAGTATTTATACCTTTGTCAAACCGCTGTGGTGTAGACTCACTAGACCATATGAGAAAATAATATATCTTGACAAATTGCAATTCATTTAGAAGCATATTGTTAAAAGGAAGCAACATTTAGTGTAACATTTAAATCCAATGTGAATCTTCCCACAAAACGCTGTGAGGTCTCGCATGATTCCCAAAGATCGATTACTCATAGTCAGAAATATTTAAACATTGCCATAAAAAAGGTTTTTCAAGTGCCTCCTCTAACACAGAATTTCAAAAATGAACTCCAGGCTTCCGAAGAAATTCATAATATTGTATATTCGTCTTGTTCCATCGACTTCTAACAAGCACCATTTATTGGCTCCTAGAGATGAACAATCTGTCAATTTGGGCTCAGGTTCCCGGGGGTCCTTGATAAAGAGAGAACTGATGGCCTGGATCCATTTGCACTCACCACTAATCATCTCAGGGGCCATCCAATAGGGGTTTCCCACCACGGTGTAGCGCTTCCTCCGGTCAGGCCTGCGGAGATCTGAAAGTGTTCCCTTGGGAGGCCTTTCCAGAGAAGAGGTTTTGCTCTGATTTCTCTCCTCCTTCACCAGCCTGGCTAGTCCAAAGTCTGCCACCACCACAGACTGGTTCTAAACCACGAGAAATAGAGAAAGAAATGTTAGGAACGTTTATTTTGGGTTTAGGTCTGTGCCCTCCTAGTTTTTGACATGTGCAGGGGCGGACTGGCCATTGGGAATACCGGGAGTTTTCCCGGTGGGCCGTGCGTGGGCAGGGAAACAGGGTTCAGGGGGAGTTGCTGTACCCGTAGGATAGAAAAGGGGGAAGTGACGTCTGACTCAGAGGTAGCGCGGCTGTGGAGAAGAACGTGTTGCCCACATTCTGTTACTGAGTTTAGGCTAGTAGGTTTATTGTTTTGGGTGCAGTCACTTTTGCCTCCACTTGCTGTTCAAATAAATGTTCTGTTTACAGTTCTGTTTCATATGGGTGTTGAGAGATGTATCCATAGATTTAGTCCCTAATTTTGCTCTCAAAGTGCACCAGGTTGATGCATTTAACTTCAACATTTAAAAAATAATCTTCCCGGGGGAGCATGCCCCCGGACCTCCCTAGAGGAGGTGAGGTCCACCACCTGCCCACACCCCCTGTCGAATTGTCTCACCCACATTGAGGATGCTTCCTACACCCATGTTTTATTCCATGCGTCAAGTTAGGCAAATTAGGTCCAAATGTTACATGCCGCCCATTAAGTGGGCCTGTCTGTCAATTAATCTCCGGGCCACTTTTTCCTCCCAGTCCGCCCCTGGACATGTGTGTGCATCACAAAGTGAACATGAGTGTGTGATGGAACCACTTTTTTACCTCTCTGACCAGGCAGTTGTGTGAGTTAAGATCTCGGTGAATAACGTTCATGGAGTGTAGATAAGCCTTAGAAGGAGAAACGTTGTATACATTAAGGAAAGTTGGTACTAGATAAGGGAATTATTTATTTGGGATATTAACCTAGAAGGACTCACCATTCCAGCTGCAATGTCTTTAGCATAACCCACTCTGACACTCCAGGGGAAATCTTTGTCCTACAACAACAAGAGATTCACCATCATACTGTGTCTGTGAACCTTGACAGAAACACTAAGCTTTTTCTTAACTTACCATTTTAATGATGGTCTCTCTGAGAGTTCCTCCCTGGATGTATTCAGAGACAAAGTTTATCCGTTTGTCTTTATAAAACAGTCCAATGAACTTTAAGACATTGGGATGGTCCATACAGCGCATCACCTTCACCTGAACACATTGAGAAGAAACGTGGTTAAACAAATACTTAAGGCCATTGTAGCAACGTGAAAAATAGCTCTAATGATAGTGACCTTTTCACCCTCTTGATGATGTCAAATGGATTTTAAACCATGCCAGTGAATATTCATGGTTGGTTGAGTGTGCTTTGTGAGGTCACCCGTTTGAAATGTTATCATTTCCCATTGAATGGCCAGTTGATATAACATTGTAATTCTCAGATGGTAAGCTCTGTCACTTTTGAAAGTGAAGCCTAACAGGTTCACTTTTATGTGGTTAATGCTTGTGTAAATTGAAACAAATAACAACTTGTTTTAGCTTTAGGAAAATATTATGACTTGGTTACCTAGCTTACCAATGTTACGTACGTACATATACATGTTTTGACTTCGGGTTTACCAGGGGACACAAAAAGTCTTATTATTTAGGGTCCTTTGTTTGACCCAAATGCCACCGGTCTACCTCTACAAACTCAGTCTTAATACTATTTCCTCCTTCGCTGCCGTCACAATTGCTGATGTGACTAGAGGAGGTGGAGTCTTGGTACTTGTATCAGTCATCAACCTTTTAAATAGATCATCACAGGCCTTCTGAGCCTGCTAGTCGGTGTAGCAGGCCCCATCTTTATCTCCAAACTAAATCTACCTACGGGTACTAATACAAATAACCTGAACCATCTGACCATCTGAGTCTGATAACGCCTCCAATGGGCTGATTACATTTGAATCTGTTAATGGTGTTGACTCCCTGCTTTGATGAACACTTACTTCCTTCAAGAAAGTCTTCTGCGTCTCCTCATCAAACCGTATCAACTCTTTCATCACCATCACCTCCCCTGTCTCCTGATGTGTTACCTTGACAAGCAAGAGGTTATTCAGAAAGCTGATTAAAAATACTTGGTGTCAGTTTTTACAAATGGTATGAGAAAGTCATCCATATTTTATGAAAGAGACGATGCGAAGGGAAAAAGTTGTACCTTGACAGCCTGTCCAAAGAAGCCCTTGCCAAGCACTTCTCCATGGATGAGGTCCGAAGGTCGGAAGATGCGATGAGTCCGATCTCCAGGGTCCGCACGAAGAGACTCGGAGCGAACCATTTCTCTTCTATGAGATAAAAGTGACAGAGCTCCAGGGGACAGAGGAGACTTATCTATACTACAGCTGCGCCTGAGAAAGAAAATAGAGACTCAGTCAAAGAAAATATAAATGAATGAGCAATGACTTAAGAAAAGATGAAATACATGACTTACAGAATGTGTCTAGATCTCATTCCTTGGTGCTGAGGTGGTGAGAGGCTCACCCTGATTGGTTCTTCTGTCTCCCCCCCTGGACTCGGCTCTTCCTCTAGACTTGGGAGTTTATGGGTTGAAGAAAGTTTTTCACAGACACACGGTTCAGGACAGCTGACGTTGTCCGGGGGATCGTTTGAGAGAGGAGGGTCATCAGGAGACTGTGGGTTGTGTTCAATGGTCAGCTGCAGCGGTCGGTTTGTGTCCTGGATCACACAGTTTATCTGGAGGCAAGCATGTGGTGGTGACCTTTGTGGACATAGTAGTCTTTTTATTGTTTTCTTGCAGATGCCAAGGAGTGTATCTACTTCTACTACTCAAACATTATTTATTTTTGCATCATTTTGAAAGATAACATAACGTGGTTAAGGCTTCTCTTTCACCTAAGAGAGCATAATGTCAAAGGGCACTGAACGAAAACTCATAAAGATTCATTTAACATAGAATAAAAATGTGTATAAGTAATCTTATAAATTCCACGGTAAAAACAGCTTAATAATAATAATGATAACAGCAATAATTATAGTAACAATATTATTTGTATAACTTCACCTAAAAGATCTTGACTTGAGAAATACGCAAGACTTCTAACCCATAGTGTAATTACTTCTCATTTAGTCATGACATCATGGCTGAATATGTGTGAGGTTTGAGGCCTACCTCGTCAGGGGAAATGTTGAGGACGGGGATGCCGTTTACCTCCAGAACCCGGTCCCCCATGTGGACGGAGGACAGCAGCTCAGGGCTGAGGGTGGAGGAGTCTAACCTGGGGGAGAATTACAGTGAGGAAATTGTTGCGAGCTAAATGGGATAAGACAGAAAATTAGCCAGGGATTTTAGATCAATCTTTAGGTTTAGTTGTATTTCAGCGCTAATTAAATGTCACTCTTTGTCATGTCTTAGACTCACCCTGTCACGGTGACAAGAGGGCCTTTCTCCTGGCTGAGGTCAGTGGCTACAGACAGGCCTCGTCCAGCATGGGGAGGGAGAGACACCAGCGCCACCGTGTGTGGACGCTTGGTGAGGGAAGAGGCTGACCTCTCAGCGGATACTTCACCCGGACAGAAGCAATGGCCACTACAGAACAAACAAATCAAGAGGTAAACTAAGGACACTCACCAGAATCATACATCTCTATATGTGTGAACAAGACAAATATATTTAGTTTCAGAAATGTGTTCAGGCTTACTCTCCACATGCAGCAAATCTAGTTCTTTGCATGATTTCTTTCCTGTTAACTTCAAACTTACCAGTAGAGTTTTGTGCGTTCGACGAGTGTGTAGCTGTCTCCATCTCCAATGAACATTTCACAGCTCATACATGTGAAGCATTCAGGGTGGTACTTCTGCTCTCCAGCCACCTGTTTATACAGGGAGGTATTGGTAAATCACACAAAGCATAATGGGCATAATATTGATTTTTGCAAGATGATGTTTGATGGAGTGAGATTTTAGGAGTTCTCTGTGCATTCCTACATGAAGGCATTGTAGTGTCAGGATGTTTTCAGAGGATATCCTCTTGTTTGAGTGTTGAAAGAAAAAGAAACATTTACTTTCATTCCAGGAACAAACCAAGAGACAGGAAGGCTTTGAATATATGAACAGTCGGTGTAGCATGCTGAGACTCTGTATGTTGGGACATTTGATCCAGCACATTTATGGCAATATTTCTGTCTGTCAACAATACACATGTACAGATTTTGGTATTTGTCTGGCCGCTTCTTTGTACCAAATGGAGGCTTTGAATTATCAATAAAGCAGCTATTTTTAAACTAGCTCACCAACTATCAATCAATTTGTTACAAAATGTTTTGAAACGAGTGAGCTGAATAACAAAGCGGAGCATTATCATCTGAGGTGACTTTTGCTCAGGACGGTTTGTTGGGTTTTTAAATGCGATGTTGTGAATAATATAATAAATTGTTAGTGAGCACCCTCAAATTGGGGTATAATTGACCTATAGGAGAACTATATTATAAGTCAAGTCTAATGGAAATAACTCAAAGTAAATTCATGGTTTTTATTACATTATTGTACACGGCTTGAATCCTCCCTTTCGCATATGTCGTAACGTTTTAATTAATTTCTAATAAGTGAGGCCCTAATTGTAGATACAAATTAAGTCCTAACTTTCTATTTTCAGGGATTATAATGTTACCATGATGAGTCCTGTTGCGATGGTGTCTTTGCAGCCGTGGCAGTGCTCTCCATAGCGGGCCCAGTAGTGCTTCTTGCAGTAGAGCTGTCCCTCTTTCTCATAGTACCAGTGAGACAAGATGCAGCCACATTCACAACACCTAGAGAAGCATGGGAGCAGGGAATAGACAGAGAAGAAGGGCAAAACAAGAGAAAATGGAGAGTAAGATGATGGATACTTCAGAGGTGTGTTCGAGCAAAGTAACGTGATCCTCATCAGGGTTTGAACACGTGAGACCTGTGAGGAAAGTCGACCTGTGAGCTTGTCACAAACGCTATCTGGGACAACACTTCCAGGTCAGTTGGACTTTAAATGATGGAGTGAAGCCACTTGTTTTTGTTTTTCTTAACACAGTCTTCTATGCCACTGATACCCATCTCCTATCCTCTCTTGAACTTGTTTACCCTGCTCGTGTTGAATGACAGAGGGATGCTTTTATTAGTTACAAAGTTGCATGGGACATCAAGCTGCTGGTGTTTCTCAGCACTGGCCTGGAGGAAATAGAGTTATCTTCACCACAGGGATGGTGTTGAAACCATGTCTTTTCACTGAACTGCTGATGTCACTGTGACAGAGAGTATTTAGTCAAATGCCAAATTAAATTTGCTTCTTACAAAAGGACTACTCATGTAGGCTCGCTGATCAGTCACATGTCTAAACGTAATGTTTTTTCCCATCAGCACCCCCACTCGTATATTGCAAAAGAGAGCATAACAAAGCAATATCATTGCCACAGTTTAAAAAGCATTAGTTCTCTAAATGCAGTGCAGCATGCTCACTTTTGGTTCTTTTTTAAAATCAGCAAAACAACTTTCAATGTCATTCCGGCCTCAACTGAATGAAGAATAGTACCTATTTACTACAAAAACCTGCTTCCTTATTTCTTCAACACTACAGCTGCCGTGGGAGGGGACTTCCTAGTCAGAATGCAGATCCCTGTTTCCTCTCTCCTAACCTCAACTGTAAACGCCAGGCTGGTCTTACAATAGAATGAAAAGGTGGCTTTTGTATTAACAATGAAATGGTTGGAGAGTTCCCTCCAACATAAGACAGTTATTGACAACATTCACACTTAGAGCTGTCGATTGAACGATACGTTTTCAAATATTGAATTAATTGCCAACTATTTTAACAATCGATGAACCAGTTTGAGTTATTTCTAAACAAAAAATATATCCAATTCTCAGATTCCAGCTTATTAAATATTTATATTTTATGGGTTTTTCCTACCACTTATGAAACTGAATATCTGTGACTTGTGGACAAACAAGACATTTCAGATAGTCAGGTTTGGCTCTGGAAATAATTATCTTTTTGTACGCTTCATAGACTTAACAATTTATCTATTGAGAGAATAATCTTAAGATTAAATAACAAGTAAAATAAGTTAGTTACAGCCCTACTAAATACTCAGAACCCCTGAAAAACAAGACATTTAAAGACACTGGACTTTTAGAAAGTGATGGTCATTTCTCACTATTTTCTGAAATTTTGTAAAATAATTGAATAATCCTGAATATAATAATCAGACCCATCAATAATGCAATTGTTTGTTGCGGCTCTTAATGCAATGTTTGCCGGGGATATAGTGCTCTATAATAAGTACACTAAGTGATCTGTTAGACCTGCTTTTCATTCATTATTGTGGAAATAATTAAGTAATAAAGACAGCTGCAGTTTTACTTTTGACCTTTTGTCTTTCCTACTGTGCTGCTGGCAAAGGGTGTGGAAGGTCCCAGCTTCACATCTGCTATTCCATCTAAACATCTGGTCGTGACTCTCTCTTCTGCCTTATCTCCACACAATCCTCCCACTGACATTATTCCCCTCATCTCGCTTGTTCTGCATCTTACTCTTATCTTTAGCCACTCATAACCCCTCTGAGATCTGTCCTTGTGTCACTAAAAGTGGACACACCAGCACCTGGTGCGCATAAAACAAACATGTTCGGATGTCAGGACGTTATGGTACAGTAGGTCAAATGTTACACTAAGAATCTGATGACGTCTTCTCTTGTTATGGTTCCCTCCTCGGTCTGTCGCCCTGCAGGATTTCCTTTAAAAACAGTAATTCTTAAAAAGAAACACTTGTTTTTGATGTAATTCAATTATTTGGGTGTATCAATGGTGATATGTATGGATATTTTAAAGTACTTGTTGATGGAGGGAGGCGAAACAAACAGGCATCCACCAAAACAAAACAGTTGAGTTATGAATATGACGGCAGGCTGCTTATATGACAAAGTATTGACGGTGCCTGCTATGGTTTCATTAGCTACTCCTAAACATATCTATAGATGATGTAAAAGTAGACAGAAAACCCAAGAGCAGGTTTCTGGTGTGTCTGTGTGACAGCAGAGGGGTTTGAGGAAGTACCGCAGATGTTGAACTACTCACTCACATATCACATAAGTTGATAACAGTGTTTCTTACCGTCCTTTCGTTCCTCTCCGAAACCTCTGGTCCCGGCGTGACATTCTGCCCTGTCAGGTCGGACAACTGTCCCTCAGAAACAATCCCACAGTGAAGAGAGGAGCTTTTCAGCTGCGTTCGTTCATGAGCGGATCCTAATTGTTCTGTGCTGTGACCGGCAGCAGGCGTTGTCTGTTTTTTTGTTGTTTTGTACTCTCTCTCTCTCTCTCTTCCTGTGCGTATGATTTCCCTCTGTAGTGCTCAGAGTCGCTGTGTGAGAAAAAACCCTGACCTATTGACACCATCGTTCCCGTCTCCCTCTGCTGGCTGCCGGGACACACACACACATCCCAGTATAGAAGTTCTGCTCTGAGGTCCCTCTCCTGTTACTCTCAGTATGTAGACCGCTGCAGATACAGTTACACTCCTCAGCAGAGTCCACAGAGTTTGGAACTACATGGGTGTTTATGAGTGTGTTTTTCTCAGAATTAGTGTGAGAGTCAGTGAGTCTCTGTTTTGAAATGAGCTCTGTTCCCATCAGGGCAGACATAATCTCTTTATGAATGCCCCAATTACCTCACTGTCCTGATCCTACAGAACAGCGCTTTATTCATCAGACACAACTAACACAAGAGGGAGACTCAGTTAAAGGACAAGCATGGGGAACAGCTCAGAACTAGGAGCAAAACATTGCCATTATTCATTATAAAGTAAAAAATAAATAAAACTCGGGTTACCGATATGTCTTCCATTGTTCATTCTCCATCGCTGCTTTTGTTGTTTACCCAATTCTTTAATACTTTAGTGCGTAAACTGATGATTATCTTTAATTTCAAAAGTCCATTCATTGTTTTCAATTAGTTATTTGGCCATAAAATGTCAATGTTTTTCCCAAACCCCAACATTACCTCCTCAATGTTTTCAGGATACATTTTTCTGTCATAGTGTATGAAGAAACCCCAAAAATGTTCACATTTAAAAAGCTAATGTCAATCATAAGGAAGTTTACAGATGTATTAAATAATTGATAATGAATAGACTAATGATACATCTATAGTACTTATTGGTTGAGTCATTGCTCGCACCTGTTCTGTAAACTTCATATTGTGCTGTGTATTAAACTCTGAAGTGTAATACAGTTTAGAGTTTAACACACAACATTTCCTGAGTCTTGCAATGAGTTACCATGAAGATAATGTCAGACTGCTGCTCACACTTTTTAAGCCTGCCCATGCCGTAGCCTCACTTGTGGTCATCACACTGCATCCACACCTTAACATGTTAAAACCAAAATCTGCTTCTGATTGTGCAGCTTCCTCTTTTTACCTTGTGCCCCTTGTGCCCCAAACACCTCCCGACTGTTTCACGTGTTGTACAACAACAATTATTCTAGCTGCTTTAAAATTAAAATAACCTGACACAACAACTGTCATTGGTCATTTTTTTTATTTCAGAGATTGTCTGAAGTGTACAAAAGTGCAACATTTTCTTCATAGGCCACATAAAGAATGCAGATGTTAAAAACACATGTTGAGCTAGATATAAAGACACAAATGTAAGCTCAAATGCAACATGACAATCAATTACACTTTCTATCCAAATGACATCACATCACAATGTAGTAAACAAAGCACTTCTAGCAATACACACGTTTTAAGACTTTGGAAACACACACAAAATAACTCAAATATTTAATACTGTATTAATGCGCTTGAATTCTTAAAATGAGACTAAATAGACTTTCCTGCTCTTTATCAGCATAATTTAAAAAGACTAGCAAACGTGAACAACAGTGTTAAAGGAGGTACATTAAAAAAATAAAAACACAGTAATGAATGCTCTTCAGATGCCATTTAAATGCCATATCACGTATTCCAATCATATTACCTCACATACATCATTATAACAATGACAAATATTTATGTATGTTTACACCAAAACCTATTAGTGTTATGTAGCTATAAAACGGTGCTTATAAAGGTGTGCACAGAGTGGAAGAAGTGTTTACATCTGAGGAACTTCAGCCTCCACTGTCGTCAAAATGAAGACAGACTCGCATGTCACTAGAAAAAAATCCACTTGAGTCCATTTGGTCCACACTTTTCCCAAAATAGCAACAATCTGTTTCTTTCTCTTTATAGACTTCACAAGTGTTTGCACTTTGATGTAAAAGCTAGAAACAGTGAATTCATTTAAGCATTACATCTGCTGAAGTCCAGTCTAACTGGGTAAGGATTTTTCTGTTTTTTAAAACTTTTCGTCAGCATGCAGACAGGTCTGAAGGAGCTGCCCTGAGGGTGTCCTTGGTATCAAGATTCATGGGGATACTCACACATGAACACAAATGGTGTTCAACAACAAGAAACAAAACACACAGTTGTATTTTAGTACAGCTTCATAAGACATGTGGTACTTATTTGAGATGTTCTCAACCTGCTAGTTGGGATCCCCAGCCTCAAGGTGAATTATGGAGAAAATAAGTTGCCATTATAACAAATGTATCCCCTAACCTAACCTAGTTAAGAAAAGGTGAACATTAAAACAACATGAAAAGAACAGATTTCACAACAGCATGAAACCATGTTTTGAAGAATCCCAACCCTAACAGGTTGAGAACCATCACTCTTTTTTTAAGTTGTATAAAATCTAAGCAAATGAAAAGTGTATCATGTGGAATGTGTTGAAGCTTTAGCTCCTATGGTAGATAAGACATTTACGATCTGGATCATGCAATAGCACCACTGTTGGTTTAATGAGGTAACTTCCTGTCAGCCGGTCTCTCACTTCCTCCTTCGGCCACAGTATTTACCCTGGCAGCCGGCGCCTGAGTACAGAGCAGAGAAAATGATTATTCACATGATAGAGCATGCATACTTCAAATGTAAAAACTGTATAGATCATTCCACATGAACACATAAGTTCCCGCAAAATATTAGAATGACTGTATATGAAAAATTATTTAATATTTCATTAAAAAACGTTTGTAAACTTAAGACATCAAATGTAGTCAACTTAAGTTCAGTTAACTAAAGATAGTCCTCATCTCAGTCAAAAGGGTCCGTTTTGTTATTTACCTCGCAGCCACGTAGTTCCTGTATTTGTGGTTGTTAGACTACAGTGGGGCAATTCTTGAAGTGTCAGTTCTCCAAAAAACATGCTTGTATCAGACTAAGAGTGCAAATTCATGCTTGTACCAGACTAAGAGTGCAAATTCAAAGTTAACAGTCATCATGGTTCTTTTCAGAGGAAAAACTACGTGTGAACCTTCCATCAAATACAATTTCTTTAAACTGGAAGGAGGAAGTTGATTGCTCCGCAGAACATTCATTTAACTGAAGTTACTACAGTTAAAGTCAGAAGAAATCATGAGTATGTGTGCTGGAATGTTTCAGAATGATATCTAGGCATTTTAGTTAAGTCACACATTTCCATGAGAGTGTTTTACTGAGTACAAAGTGTAAGGTTTTACCTCTGTAACCCCTAGCTCCCAGTAATGCCTGCATGGCTGCATATTTGGCTACCATCTGTGCCTTGGCTAAAGGACATACAAGCAAAGAGAAAAGTTATTCTGCACACATACAGCCTCTTTACAATGAAACCAAGCACTACAGACTATACAAGCATACTTGACTTGATACATGACTTACATTTTCCTAAACAACTTAAAACAATTATCAGCCTTTTTAATTGTATTTTTGTCACTTAAGTAATCAATAATTCCATTGTCAAATATTCTGTCTTTTGTGCTTATGAGTAGGAAAAGCCTCAACATTTAAAACTAAAAGATTACAAGGAAATACTGTGTTATGTGTCAGTGCTACAGTAAAGCTAATTAGAGCATGCTCATCCAAGAGGTCACTGTGTGTTTTCTTACATTTTTGTCCGGCACCCGCATATCCTATAGAACAATAACAGGAAACAGAGTCATGATAAACGAAAGGTCATCTTTACAATGGTCTCGTCTTATCTCATGAATGTTTTCAATATTTAACATTTTTATTTTACGAATATTTACTGCTAATAGTTTTTAAACTTTTCAAAGAATATACTGTGGGATTAAAAAAAAAAAGGGAGTATAAAATGTTTTACCTGGATAGTTTCCACCAGCCACCCCACCAAAGCCAGGGCCAGCGCCCCCTGCTGGAACAAGACACATTACAGCAGGGGTGTCAAACTCAAATACACAGTGGGCCAAAATAAAAAAATGGGTACTAGTCGAGGGCCGGACTGGTTCAATGTTTATTTAAAAACGTATTGAAATGAACTTATTGCACATATTAAACCTGGAACTAACAAAGCTTAAATGATTGTCAATAAAAACAACATTAAACATTAAATAATCAGTTGCATTCTTTTCTTATGGCTCTATCTGCAGCTTTTCCAGAGTCATTTCTTATGATTACATTTTTCCAAAGGCCAACAACAGCTTAAAAAAAACAATTCCCCTCAAAGAAAAAAAACAAACATGCCCTGTTGTCTCAAGAGAAAAAGTGCAAAAGGAAACATCCATTTAAACTCATTGTGCTGCTCTGTGATGATAGTTCAAGCCAGATACTTGGCATCTCATCTTGGGTGCAAGTTCATCAATGTTTGGGGTCAGGCTCTGAGCGGAGGAAATCCTCAGGGTTGAGTGAAGGTGTGCGTGCAATATACCGGCGGGCCAGATGTAATAGTAATTAAAAATTATCCTGCGGGCCGAAATAAAATCCACCAAGGGCCTGATTTGGCCCCTGGGCCTTGAGTTTGACACATGTGCATTACAGCATACATACTATACATTCACTAGAAAACTATACAATATTACTCTTTATCCAAACTCGGTGTATCTACTGTATTACTCTAACATTGAAACATGTACTACCTATTGTGTGGAGGTATGGGGAAATCAATATAACTATTAGAACATTCAATGTAAAAAGGGTAGGCATAAAAAGCTTAGTCTTCGCCGACACCTTTTTGGACAATATTTATTTATTTTCCTTATATTATTAATGTATTTATTTGATCAAAATAAATTGATTCTGCTTGATTATTACTACAACACACGTCTCTTTATAGAACAGTTCATCAAAAAACAGGACAGAGATTTACTGTAATGCATTTGTTTTCAAATCTTTTACTGTTAAAATGCAAAAGAACATGCTCTTGTTTATTGTGTCAGTGCTCCTCCTAAACTGACCTGGTAAGCTGCCTGCACCTCCTCCTACACCCTGACCTGTTCCCGCAG